TAATAATAATAATAATAATAATAATAATAATAATAATCGATATTTAAACAGGGTGACCCCTTCAGTCGCAGGACTGGTATCAACGGGGGCCCTGTATAATGTAAAATAAAAAGAGCATGCATATCCATTGATTGTCAACCAATATGTATTAATTAATCGACACTTGGCCCACTGTTGACTGACTGTCAATTGAGTGTCGGTCTAGTGTCGATTGTGATGTCAATTAAATGTCAACCTAGTGTTGACAAAGTATTTATCAAGATATTGATAGAGAAGTTGATGGAGTGTCAATGGAGTGTTGATCGAGGGTATGGATCGACAATTGACAGCGGATGCCTTTAGGATACATGATCCTACAAATTTACTTTTATACTAGACAAGCCAGTATAATAAAGGGCAGCAAGCAGGTGATGTCTGAGAAGATATGAATTTTATGTTCGAGTGGCAAGAACTATATCTCACAAGTGAGCACAGCAAGCGAGTGAGATATTGTTCTTGCCACGAAAACATAAAATTCATATCTTCGAGCTAATGTGTAATGTTCTTTTTATTATATAGACATGCTGATGATGCCGTTTTTGACAACTTTCCAAAGATTTCCAACCACTTTCCGAAGATTTCCGAAGATTTTCCAAAATTGTTCCGAAGGCCAGACAAACATTTCCAAACATTTTCCGAATATTTCCGAATATTTTCCGCAGATTACCGAAGATTGCTGAAGATTGCCGAAGACGACTGAAGAAGATCCGAAGATGTTTCGATCACACACCAACAAATTTAAGAGTAGTTAAAGGGACAAAAGAAAAATGTTATCAAACATGATATCTTCACATGTGAGGATATCATATCGTTTGTATCAATTTGTTACCACTCGGTATACCACTGACTTTCATATAATAAATGTTTTGTTCTGCATGTGATTGCGTTACGTGTCATCACTTAGATCGGCGCGGCAAGTATTAATATAAGTTTAAGTGGCCATCATGAGTTTGTCTTGCTCTCCACAAGAACGAGCACACTGGCACACAGATACGCGCAAAAGAGAAGCAAAGCCGGCTCGATAAACTTGACTCTTACTACATATCGCTCATGCAAATTAAATCGCTATTCTAAAAATTGTATTGTAGTCTATAAAAGCCCATGACATTCATGTTGTTTTTTGATCCTTGCAGCTTTATAAACAACTCCGGGTCAATTATTCGATTAAATTAAAATGAGTTTTAACCGAGATGGTCTGAAATTTAATCTAATAGCTGCAAAGGTTAGGCATGGCTATTGTTTTGTATAACTGTCTTTACCGTACAAATTGTACATCCAAAATAGCCTTGGCTGGCTGGACGCAGATGAAGCGGAACAAGTAAAAGCTTACTGGAGCCCGAACGCGCCAGGGAATAGCGTGTTTAATTAATACGCATTATCAAAGCTCAGGGTTCTTCCACATAAATATCCTGGCATACCTTTGACGTCCATCAGCCATGAGAAAAACAAGAATGATACAATATAGGCGATCGGTCCCCAGTTTTCAAGCAAGGCGATCGTCCCATCGCTCCATCCAAACACGTCCTCGGCAGACCCTGTTATCGGACCCCATGTGTTCCACGCTGCCGCTTGAACACCAGCGATCAGAGAGAAGATTGTTAAGATGTACCATCTTCTCTTGTATACAGCACAGGATTCTGTGACAATTTCATATTGCTGTTTAGATTGTACAAAGCTCTGGCTCACCGATAACATTCCGTCCGCCATGCTCTTTTGTTTATTTATGAAATCCGAGTTACGGCGCGCCGCCACTTGTCTGATTGGCTTCCGCTGTTTCGGGCACGGGTAGGGTAGGGAAGTACAGGCGTGGGCACCTTGGGGTCAAGAAGATACACAACTAAACTGCAAATATTTGCTGAAAGGCTGACTGTTACGTTCACATACGTGTTAGGCAATCACATGTTCGTTTATGACACTGTACAATAATATTAGAGTGGAACTATGCTGGCTTGCTCTCTACACAGTACAAGGGGCCCTATCACTGATATTAGGGGTTTTCAGGATACAGGATATCTGGGGGAAAATTAAAGGGATATGGGATATTAAGATCACATAAAATGGGATATCAAGTTGGAAAATTGATAATTTTTGCAACTGGAATAAACAGGGTACAAGATCTTTAGGCCAAAAATAAATGATATGGCTCATTATGGGATACTCAGGAATCCCCCTCCCTCTCGTACAGGGTGAAGGGAAGAGCTCTCTCCTATTTGTGTACTGCAGAACCTAGCAAAAAAAAAAAAAAAACAGAAAAATCTAGATATGGATCTGAAAATATGGATTGAAATGGGCATCTGAATTTTTGAGCGTAAATAATTCCTTATGCTGCTTTCAGCCATCTTCTCTGTACACTTGGAAACAGATAGCTGAAATTCAGGTCTCATTCTTGAACCATTTGGTGCATTCCAAGACTAACACATAGTTTGATGCTAGCTTTAAGTTAACTTTCATACCCATCCCAGGGAAGGTCATTGAAAAATTCAAAGGGGATCGGTGTTCTCAAGAGCCAGAACTTTTAACAAGAAGTATATAATTCAATTGGAATTTCCAGAAAATTTGCAAGGGGAAGGAATGCTCCAAAAAATAAATAAATAAATAAATAAATAAATAAATAAATAAATAAATAAATAAATAATAGTAATAATAAAACCTTCTGTATGGAGGGTATGGATATTTTCTGGAAAAACACAATGTTATCCTGGATAATGCAAGGTGGAAGAGATTCTTTTCAGTGCTCTACTTCCCCCACCCTCTCCCCCCTGTTGTTGCACTTAATACAAATCTCCTTTCTCCACCTATTGTATGAATGCGAGGCATGAACTACAAATTAATTAAGCAATGCTAATGCCAGAGGCTTCAAAACAAGCCAATGACCACAGCCTGGAGTTATGCAGGATCCTTGATTATACGTCTATATGTCACCAGTTAGCAAACAGGCTACATTCTATCCTATCTAATCTTTGCCATCCTTTTCCCTGCTACACCACCTTCAAAATCAAAATTAACTTGAGAAAGGGTCATTCAGCACAAGGTGATCAAAGACGAAATGAGTAAATAACACCCAAATAACACCAGAAACCCATGGGATTTTTTGCAAGTCCTGAAAAATTGTCTCGATAAATTAACCTTCTGGCAAATATACCATCAAAAACTTTATTGTTTACCTAAAATGATGGGATGCCAATCGTGGTAACATCAATTCTGTATTTAAAATATGTACGATAGCAAAAATCCCTTGTAAATAATTAAGAGAAATACACTTTACTGTCCAGTAGAAGTCACAACTCAAGAAAATTATCACCAGAAGTCTATCACCTTACGCTTAATAAAGAAGTTCTCTTGATCAATGTTCAGTGTTTATACATGTACATTACAAAGTCCAATCAATCATGAAGTTCAATATGTACAGGTTGTGTACATTCCAATCCGAGCTTTTCCAAAACACAGGCATCATATTTCTTCTGAGTTGCCCTGCAATAGGCAAATTCCTGGTTGTTATAATCAAGACAAGTCCAGTGCTTGGTGAAAACATCGTTGCACTCCTCTTTAAGCTTCTTGAAGAACTCTAGAGCACACTTTGTGACTTGCTTTCCTTCACCTAAGCACTTTCTCGGATCTTTGTACTCATATCGGCAGCCCATGAAGGTCTTGAAATCCTTGTCGCAGTACTGGCCTAGGTGGTGTGCACCTCCCATCAAAACAGCCGATGTGATTTCTAGTTCTTCGACATCTAAGTCCTCGAATTTTACGTCTTTTACACCACAAGCCATGTCTTCAAAAAGACCACAACACGCAAAGCAAAGATCCAAGATGGCGTCCCTCTAAAACTACCGCTGGCCTTTGAATCTGTTTCACGTTTCGAAAGGCATTCTGGGTCAATTTCAAAGATGGCGGACGAACAAAATGTTTGTCGAGTTTCTTCTTTTGAGAATGTCGGCGAGATTTTGAGTCTTTTATGGGGAGAAAACGTTAAGGAGGATATATTTGAAAGATGGTCTCAAGGTAAAGTTTTAAAATGGCTAGTAGTTTACATTGGTAATGAGGTATTCTGCAAATGAAATTGACACCTAATACGCGAAAGTTCTTCGTTAAGAAAACGAGTCTTTAAGTTTATATAGAGTTTCAAGTGATGAAGTGGCTGGTTAGTACTTTGATTTCTTATATATTTGAATGGGAAATTTAAATACTGGATTCTTACGTTTTATGCGTTAGTTTTTTGATTGAAAGTATCAGGGGTGTAAGTTTTTCTTATGGTTTCAAATCAACCCGGCAGTGCAACCTGACAGCATATTTGAACTTAGGCTACAGAGCCCTATTAACAAGGCCGTTTGTTGTCTTTGAACCAATTTAACTTCATGGAGGGTTTTTACAATCCAATAGCAACATTACCTTCAGCTCAAAAAATTTTATATGTTTTAAAGACCGTATAATTGAATCAAATTGACCAATAACAAGTGTGCAGTTAGCTGTCATAGTAGTTAGTGACTCTAGCACTTTCCAAAT